TCACCTTGATTCATTAATTCTGGAATCAACCGTGAACTTATCAACAAACGAGCTGGAAGGAGAATTACCGGAAGTTACCATTGTTTACATTTTTGATAGTTGACAGCCACGTCTTCTTGTGTTTGTAAACATTGAAACTGTCATATTCAGAGTGTATTTGATATAAATATATATCATTTATCGTTTTACACGATAGAATCAGCCGACTGTATTTTAAAGGGTTTGTGAAAATAAAATGTTTATCATTTTGATTATATCAGTATGTTTTATTGTATATATTTGTTAAAAAAAAGTTTATATATTGACCAAAACACAATTGTTTGTGTCAATATTAATTCTGCTGTGCGCTGATCAGACTCGTTTGCTCAACAAGTACTCATAGGTGTTCGGCACGTTGATTGGTCACTACCCCTCCCCTGACCCCCCCCCCCTCACCCACTCTTCAACCCTCCTACCCCTCAAACCCATGTAAACTACATATATATTTAGTAAAGGTATACAACTCCCCGCTCATTTTTCAGCACTCATCTTAATATGAACTCCATAACTCCAACATTTTTTCACCAATTTTCAATATCTTGGTACCAAATTGTAGGGAATTGATTACGCTTAAAGGAAATAAAGCTGTCATTACAATCATTTCAAGTTATAAAAACATAAACATGATTATATTTAGGTCTGCCTCTCTATGTCATGCCGCCAATACAAAGGACCACAATGGAAATAACAGCTTTTTTACCCTTTTTTGTGTTCCTATGCCGAAATAAATCTATCTATCTATCTTTAAGAAGATATGTAATCTCGAAGTCACTGCAAGTGTAACTCGACAGAGACCTGACCGCTGGGTTTTTTGTCAAAATTACCCGAATAAACGGCAGTTTATTCAAAATGGATGAATATTTTTTTTGCGCATATAAATATGATGAAATTATACTATTATTTGTAATAACTGTTCAATCAAAACATCATATAAAGCTATAACAAACCGTTTTTCCGATATGTTATAATGAGTGCTGAAAAATGAGCGGCGAGTTGCATACCTTTACTAAATATATATGTATCAATATTTTATTTTTTTGTGGGAAATGAAGGTAATTGAATTAAAAGCATAAACCAAAATATTAAAACATGTTTCAAATGGAAAAAATACTGTGGTTTACATGGGTTTGAGGGGTAGGAGGGTTGTAGAGTGGGTGAGGGGGGTCAGGGGAGGGGGAATTGACCAATCAACGCGCCGAACACCTATGCAAGTACTTGGATTCAATGATTTTGTGATCGCTTTTCGTCCGGCGTCCGTCCGGCGTCCGTCCGTAAACTTTTACTCTAAACGACATCTCCTCATAAACCGCTAAGCCAATTTCATCCAAACTTCACAGGAATGTTCCTTTGGTAGTCAACTTTAAATATTGTTCAAAGAATTTAATTCCAAGCAGAACTCTGGTTGCCATGGCAACCGAAAAAAAAATTAAAATATCTTCTTTTAGAAAACCGAAAGAGCTAGAGCTTAAATATTTGCTAGTCAGTGTCTACCAAGTTTGTTCAAATAAATGCCCTGGAGTCAAAATTGGCCCCGTCCCGGGGTCATTGATTTTCCTAATTTGTATACAGTAAAAACTTAAAAAATCTTCTTTTAAAAACCCCAAATAGCTAGAGCTTAGATATTAAGCATGAAACATCTTCTAGTGGGTGTCTTCCAAGTTTGTTCAAATAAAAGCCATGGGGAAAAATTAGCCCTGTCCCAGAGTGTCATTGATTTTCCTTATTTGTATATATTAAAAACTTAAAAAAACTTATTTAAAAAACCCAAATAGCTAGAGCTTAGATATTAACCATGAAACATCATCTAGTGGGTGTCTACCAATTTTATTCAAATAAAAGCCCTGGGGTAAAAATTGGCCCCGCCCCAGAGGGTCATTTTTTTCCCTATATGTATAATTATAGTAAAAACTTTAAAAAATCTTCTTTTAAAACCCCAAAGAGCTAGAGCTAAGATATTTAGCATGAAGCGTCTTCTAATGGGTGTCTACCAAGTTTGTTCAAATAAGGGCCCTTGGGTTAAAATTGGACCTGCCCCGGGGGTCATTGATTTCCCTTATATGTGTATAGTAAAAACTTAAAAAATCTTCTAATAAAAAACCCAAAGAGCTAGAGTTTAGATACTAAGCATGAAATATCTTATAGTGAGTGTCTAACAAGTTTGTTCAAATAAAAGCCCTGGGGTCAAAATTGACACCCCCTTTCCAGGGGTGTGTGTGTTTTTTCCCTATATGTATATAGTCACATTTTCTAATGGGTTTCTACCAAGTTTGTTCAAATAAAAGCCCCTGGTTTAAAATTGGCCTTAGCCCAGGGGCCTATATACAGGTGAGCGATTTCAGGGCCATCATGGCCCTCTTGTTTATTGGTATTATTTATTTTTGTGTGTTCTGGTGTTGTCTTACTCCATCTTTCCTTCTTGAGTCTATACTAATTTAAGTCAAATAAATAAACTAATAAATATTAATCTACATTGACCCTGTGTTAAAGGATTGTTACCCTGGTTGGTGTGTGTGTGTTTATAGATAAATATATATTAAATATAATCATTTATTATACCGAAAGGAATTTAAAATTACTTTGCTTATCAAAGAAAGCTCAGTAATATAAAGTAAATTTGTAGTACAAGAAAATTAACAATCTCGCAAATTCATTGGCCGCGAACAAATAGCATTTTATACAAAGATGATATTTCTTTGAATCAATATGCATTTAAATATCATTTTTGTATGATTTTTTTCTGATAAAAAATATTCTAAAAAAGTTATAAAAAAGACATTGTACAAACAAATTGTCACATTGAACGGAAAAATTATTTTAAAAAACTGTTGTAGATTAGCGAGGAACAAAATTAAATATACGAAATTGACTGGTATTTAAACTTGTATATAAAAAGAATGAAGTTGAAAACAAAATTTGAATAAACTGAAAGGAGATTTTCGAATACACGAAAAGAGATTTTGAATATTTGTTGAGAGAATAATTATTGAAATAAAGGGATCTGAAAGTGTAAATATATATTGAAAGGAACGGAAAGTGAAAATTCCTTTTTTTTTAGTGCGAGTAAAACACGAAAAGTGAATATAAGAAATAATTATGTGAAATAATTATGTGAAGTGAAAGGAGATATTAAAATGAACGAAAAAAAATGAAAACAGGGAGTGAAGTGAAAGAAGTGTAAAACACGAAAAGTGAAGATGAGAAATAATGAAGTAAAGTGAAAAGAGATAGTTAAAGGAACGAAAAGTGAAATTTGAAAACAGGAAGCGAAGTGAAAAGAAGCTGTTTAATACGAAAAGTGAAGATTAGGAATAATCATGTGGGGAGAAAAGTGACATTTCAACGAAAGTTAGGTTTTGAAATAAGGGAGTGAAATTTACAGAGATTGTGAAAACAGTAAATGTGAATTTGAAAAGTAGTAGAGAAAAGAGCGAAACGTGAAATCTTGAAATTATCAAGTAAAGTGAAAAGAAGTTGTGAAAAACACAAACAATGAATAAGAAATTATAAAGTGAAAGGATGAAAGGTTGTGAAAAACATGCCACACAAATCCAAAGTCCTTGTTAAGTCCCCTCATTTCAAGAGTATATATCCAAACAAGGTCGTTTTGCCACTCTCAAACTTTACTGACACAAGCTTGCAACCAGGTAGAACCACCAACCTATTGTAAGCTTACTGATAGTTTCCTAACAGTAAAGGATCCAAAATTCTTGTCAGGATTCTTATCCACATCATCACGCATGGAGAGTGATTTGAGGTCAGAAACCTTAATCAATCCCAGAGGTACAAACATTATATTGTAAAATGTCAGTTTCACAGGGTAAATTGGATCAACACCATCAAATTATCTTTAAGAGTGTAAGTTTTGTGTGTGCAAAAAATTAGAAATTTCTAGAAAATATTCATATTTCAAATTATGAAGAAAAATGAAAGCCATTGACAGTATATAGAAAATCAAATGGCATACATTGTTACAAAATCACGGTTTTCTGTCAAGAATTTATTATAGGCATTGTCCAAGAGGACTTATGATCAAAATCTTACATTGAAAAAAGGCCAACTTACTCAATATTGATCTAGTAAAATATTCTAAAATACACATAATTACCTTTCATAATATAATATAAACTTAATAAACGTTATAGATGACAGTGTTCAATTATAGACAAGCCTTGTATTGTAACGTGCACGAGCTAGCTGTTATATATATAATTTTTCTTATGGCTACTTTGCCAGTTAATTGGTTACAAATGATTATAAAATGATTTATTCAAACTTTGGAATCAAGTTTAATAAACTATTGTTTTGTAAATAACAGTAACGTGCCTTTATAGTTGTCGTGCTTTATTCTGGAGTTAAATGACTATTTGAGTTCAAAATGCATTTTCAGCATCAGATTTGGTTATGTAACATCTAATATGAACTCTGGCAAATTCGAAAATAGGGCTTGTAATAAATTGTTCAGGCAGATAGTGTCAAGAACACCGTTTTACTGCATACAGTGTATTTCAACTGCAGGCTCGGAAGAATCAAGACATTTTTCAAGGGGGTACATACTTTCATCAGTAGCAAAAAATCTGCAAGGCCAAGCACCTGTTTCTTTGTGATATTTTGCATGTATAGGGATTTGCCAAGAGAAAAACAATTTCCGGTTCCGGTTATGGTGGCAACACATGGTTTTCAAAGTCGATTAAAAAATGGCATTTCTACCAAAACCCCCCCTCCCCACATTATTGTACCCAGTCCCTCAACTCAACTAGAAATGGTGGTATACTAAGAAAACATTCTGCATTGAAATTCTGTAAATTTTAAAGACTTTTGAAGAACTGAAATCTGACCAAGATGCCCTTAAATAAACCTTCACAGAACTCGATAAATAATCAGAGAGATACTGACAATATGTCCTTTATAAGTGAATCAGAGCATAATATAGTCAAAGGGCAAGCTGTGCATCATGTCATGAAATGCTTGAAAATGATGATGATGGAGTTCAGTGTGACTTGTGTGATAAATGGTTTTGTATTGATGAAAGGTGTTCTGGAATGACCGAATCATTTCATGACCAAATGCATGATTTAGGACTTGTTGCAAATTTCCTTTGGTATTGTACAGGCTGTAGAGAAGCTATTCCAAGCGTGAAGAAAGTACTCAGTGCTATCACAAAGTTAACCGTCAAAAATGAAAAATTGGAGTCGCGAGTAAACGCATTAGAGGAGAAAATGGAAACTGTAAGTAACTTACATTTAGATTACCGCATGGATGAAGCAGTGAGAGATTACCATGAACGTGATAAAAGGAAAGGTAATTTGATTGTATATAATCTATCTGAACCAGCTGGTGAAAATACTCAGGAGAAACGTGATGATGATAAAATGAAAGTCCAAGAAATGTGTGTTACATTAAATATTGAAAATGCTAATGTTGAAAATGTTGAGCGTTTAGGCCGGGAGCGTGAGAACCTAGAGGAAAATCCTCGGCCATTGAAGGTATCATTTACAAATGATAGGGCTAAGTTAAATATTTTAAAAAACAGTGCAAAACTCAAGGAAAAAAATAACTTTGCAAAGGTGACTGTAACACCAGATTATACTTTCAGGCAAAGACAGATGAATAAAGAACTGAAACAAGAAGTAGCAAGAAGAAGAGTTATGGACAGGTCGTTCACATACAAGAAAATGAAAGCTGAATTAGCAAGTAAAGTAGCTTATAATTCTGGTCCTAGATTTCAGGAACCTGATGATGTTGAAATTTTGTCACCGTCTCAGCGGGAAAGTAGAATTCCAAGATTTAGCCAAAGATTTGCAAACAGTAGAATAGTAACGGCAAGTCCTAAGAAAAATGAACAGCTAGGTAGCTCGCAGATTCAAACAAGGGGTAAATCAAATTCAAAAGGTGCACAAGGATACAGTGCTTCTAAAAATGGCCCCCCCCTTTAGGAAAGAGCTTGGGTGGGAAGCCGCCCAGGCAGTAGACTGTGAAATAAATGACACTATAGTTAAAAGTTATAGTTCTGTTAATGTTTCCAGTTCATTAAGTTCAAAAGTTCCGTGTTTTGAAACCTCAAGGAATGAGGATGTACAAAGCACACCTGTTGAAGTTGAGTGTATGATCAGTTAGTCAAATGTAGATTTTGTTAATGTTGATTCTACTGAAATATTTCGTGAAAGTGACTCTGAATCTACTGAATTGTTTGTTGAAGGTAGTAGCACTGAAATTTATAGTGATAGTGACACTGAAGAATCTAGTTCTAGTCAATCTGCTAATACTAGTAGTACTGATATTTTATAGTGAAAGTGACAGAGACTATGTTGGTAGTGATGTAAATTCCGTATCTAGTCAATCAAGTGCAAGTAGTGATCAGTCTAGTCAAAACACAAGTATAAACTCTGTTGAAAGTTCAATTTTAATTGAAAATCAGAATGGCTTGAAATGTCTTTACACAAATGCAGACTCTATATCAAATAAATGGTCAGAACTTGAAGCATTAGTATACTTACATCAACCGGATATTGTAGGATTGACAGAAGCTTTTAAAAAGAATCTAGAAAATCCGAACCTTTCAAGTTATGTTTTACAAGGATATCATGTATTCTGTAATCCAAAATTTCAAAATGCTGCAAGTAGAGGAACTTTGTTGTTTGTGAGAGACTATTTAGACGTAACTGAATATAAAAAACTGAATGAAAATTCTGCTAAAGAGGCTATTTGGTGTGAAATTAAAATTAACAACTTAGAGAAGCTTCTCGTAGGATTAGTGTATAGATCTCCTAACTCGAGTGCGGAAAATAATGTAGCTATAAATGAAATGATTAGTGCATTGAATAATGAAACACAGTCGAGAGTAGTTGTTATGGGTGACTTCAACTATCGTGATATAGACTGGAAGCATTGGATTTCAAGTGCGCCAGAAAATCATGTAAGTCATGAATTTATAGAAGCTGTACGTGGTAGTTACCTTCATCAAAACATAGAATTTTATACAAGATACAGAAACGGTCAAAGACCAAGTACTTTAGATCTTGTTTTCTCATCAGAAGAACTTTTAGTGAACAATATTGAACACTTCAGTCCCCTGGGTAAAAGTGACCATATAGTGATTACCTTTGGTATTGACTGTAATTCCAACAATGAGGCATACATGAAAGAGTTTGACTTGTGTCTCCTGTAAGCTGATGGAAAAGGTGGTAAGGGATCAAGTAGTGAAACATATGAATGAAAACAATCTATTTTCAAATTCACAATATGGATTTAGAACACTGAGATCTTGTGCTCTACAGTTACTGGAAGTTATGGAAAAGTGGACGGAATGGATAGACGATAGTCAAAATTTTGATTGTACAGTAAAAACCCTCAATTAAGACCTAATCGGGACTGTACCAAAGTGGTCTTAATTGTGGGGTGGTCTTAATTGTGACTATTCTTATCATTTCTTACATACCTAATGATCATGGTCTATCTTAGTCATTTTGTTTGAACAAACAATATGTATGTTAACCTGCAAATACAATAAAAAAGTATGTTAAAATGTTACATCTGATGGGAAGAAAACATATTTCTGAAGAAATTTAATATCAAATTTTCTTTGTTCTGATTTCAATAATAATTATTGTATGAGGTACATAATTCACATATCATATCAGACTTTATTTCTTCACAAAACAAATTTGCATAAAGCAACATTAAACCACTATGAAATTAACATTCTCACCTTTTTTCATTAAATATCCCATAAATAACAGCTTTTGACACCTTGTGTAATCAAGTGTCATGCCTAAGAGCAATCAAGCAGATAATAACAACATAACAACACATTTAAGATCTAGGAAGGTGTTGATTTTAATATCAGTGGTCTCAATAGTGAGGTCAAATAAAGAACAAAATAAGGAATTGGGACTGAATTTGGTGGTCTTAAATGTGGATAAGTGAGGTGGTCTTAATTCTGGATCATGTAACCATTGACATAAAGAACAGAAAATTCCGTTCTTTTAAAAACTGGTCTTAAAAGCGGGGTGGTCTTAAATCCGAGGTGGTCTTTAGTAGGGATTCTACTGTATTTATTATGATTTTCAAAAGGCGTTTGACACTGTTCCATATGCTAGATTATTGACGAAACTTGAAAGTTATGGAATTAATGGTAAATTATTAAAATGGATTGAAGCTTTTCTCCGGGATAGAAGACAAAGGGTTGTAATTGGTAGTGAAAAATCTCAATGGACTGAAGTCACCAGCGGTATTCCACAGGGAAGTGTCTTAGGACCTACACTATTTTTGATTTACATTAACGACATAGAGGATGCCATTGAAGGAACATCGCGTTTATTTGCCGATGATACAAAACTCTACAATTTAGCGAATGATAATGCAGATATAGAAAAAATTCAATCTGACAATGACAAATTTAGTTTATGGAGTAAAAAGTGGTTACTTAAGTTTAATGCAAACAAGTGCACTACATTACACTACGGAAATCAAAATGTTAATAATACTTACCATCTTAAAGTAAACAACACCAGAAATGAAATTTCAAACAGTGAATCTGTAAGAGACCTTGGAGTTACTTTTGATGTAAATATGAAATTTAGACAGCAAATAAATGATTGCATCAATAAAGGAAATAAAATTACAGGACTAATGAGAAGAACATTTCTGCATTTCACAGTGAAATCTTTCGGGAAATTATTTAAAACCCTAGTTAGGCCTCATCTAGAATATGGCAACATTATTTGGAATCCTCGTTTTAAGAAAGACATCAATGCAATTGAATCAGTACAAAGACGAGCAACAAAACTAGTTAGTCAACTAAGAGATCTGTCATATGAACAACGACTTAAAACACTGAAATTGCCTTCGCTAGCATATCGTCGATTTAGAGGTGACATGATTGAAGTTTTTAAATTGTTACATAATAAGGAGGATATTAACTATGAAGTGTTTTTTTAATTAAATAACAATGCAAATACAAGAGGTCATGGGTATAAACTGAAAGTGAAATCATGTAGAACTGAGATTAGAAAGCATTTCTTTTCTCTACGGGTTATCTCGGACTGGAACAATTTACCAGAAGTGGTTGTGAATGCTCCTTCACTTAACAGTTTTAAAAACAGGTTGGACAAATTCATGGGAGCAACACAGTATACCACCATACCGGATCAGAACTGGGTACAAAGCCATGGGGGGGGGGGGGTTTATAGAAGACGATGACGTCTTGCGACCTCAACTCCAGTAAAGTAAAGTAAGTAAAGTGTTTCTATAGCTGCTATATTTGCAGGTAATTTTTGACAGAGTGACAGAAATTGGTTTTTAGGTCTCGGACCACAGTTGATTTTCGGCAAATATCGAATGAATCACAGTACCATGTATAGTTCTACCACTATATGACCTATACTGTGTCAAAGTGACGTAAAACCCAAAACAAACAAACAAAACAAAAGTTCTACCACAATACTTGTGACAATTTAGATGTTGATTTGCAATTTTTTGTGTAATATGTTGTTAATGAAATGATTCTTTTTTTTCCAGGTTTTATACTTTCACAGGAGGAAGCGTTTACATTGTGTGTGTGGTCAGGGACGGCCGAAATAGGAAATTTAGTGTGGAGTGCTACCTATCGGCAATTTAGGTATAAAACCACTAAATATCATTATAGAATCTAGGCAGAATAGAACAATCGTCAAAGTATTTCAACAAGAAACAACAACAACAAAAATTGTCCACCAAACAACAGGAATTTATTATTTTTGTATCATAAATTAGTCAATTGTTTTCAAAGATTCATAATAAACATTTTTCACAATCAATATACTAACAATAAATCTACTATGTAAGTATAACTCATGTGAGTCGAATTTCGATTACTTGACTTTCTCGATATGCCGAAGTAAAATGGAAGTCCCGATTTTTGTGCCCCCACGTTAGTGGCGGGCATTAAGATTTACCCTTGTCCGTCCGTCTGTCCGTCCGTCCTTCCGTCCGTCCGTCCGTTCACTTTTGTGTCGCACGTAACTCAAAAAGTATTTGACCTAGATTCATGAAACTTTACAGGAATGTTGATCAGCACGTGTAGTTGTGCACCTGGGTATTTTCGTGTGGATATTTTTAGTATTTTCAGAGTTATTGCCCTTGACTTAGTAAAATTTTGCAATTTTCAACATGTGTCACACGTAACTAAAAACGTATTTCACCTAGAGTCATGTTACTTTACAGGAATATTGATCAGCATGTGCAGTTGTGCACCAGGTATTTTCGTCTGGATTTATTTAGTATTTTTAGAGTTATTGCCCTTCACTTAGAATTTTTTTGCAATTTTCAACTTGTGTCGCAAGTTACTCAAAAAGGATTTGACAAAGTCATTAAACCTTATGGGCAGGTTGCTCATTATATTTAGATTCGCACCTGGGGTTTCGCTTGTGGATTTATCCAGTATTTGTAGAGTTATTTCCCTTGACTTAGTGAAAAGATTGACAGAACAGTGGCGCGGTGGGGGCACCCGTGTCCTATGGACACATTTCTAGTTCCCCTTTATTTCTTAATAAAAACCTATACATGAGTCTAAAGTTTAAAGTGTCGAAGTTTTCCCATGGTCCGTGGTTAACAAGTAATATTTTTGACACCTTCGTCGATCGACGGCTTCGATCTCGTGCCCATTTTCATTTTTACAACTGTTCTGACAGCGAAGATAATTTCAAATCAACTTATGTAACGGATGTTAGTTCTAACAGCTTTGCAGGCTATCATGTGTGTGATAAAACGCTCTAAGTGTTATTATATAAATTAGAAAATAAGTTTCGTAAAGCGAACTTCCGTGATGACCCGGTGTCGCGTGATATATATATATATATATAAAGTAATCGCCCTTCCCTTTTGATGCGCCTTTTGTAACATGCTTGTAAAGGTGAAAGCCTTTGTTTAAGGGCCAAACTTTCTTGCCGTCAGTTATTCGTGATTGGAACAACTTGCCTGTTATAATAACAGCCCTACAATATCCTCATTTAAAACTTTCTTAAACAAGGACAGGAAATATACACCAAAATACTTTTATACAGGTAGTCGTAAACTGCAGGTCCTTCACACTCGGCCGCATTAAATCACCACCTGTTTTTGAAAATCATTTCTCTTACCCCTTTGTGTAATAGTGGGCAAATTGAAACTACCCAACATTTCTTTTTCGAGTGCTGTGCATACGAAGCTGTCCGCAGAACACTCTTCCTTAACTTGCAAGACTTCAGCATAAACCTTCATAAAATTCTCTATGGTGACCCATCTCTTACATATTAGGACAACCTCATTATATTTACAAATGTACAAAATTATATAGAAAAAACGAAAAGATTTACTTAGGTCCATTCATATTGAGACTATAATCCTCTCTTACATATTAGGACAACCTCATTATATTTCCAAATGTACAAAATTATATAGAAAAAACGAAAAGATTTACTTAGATCCATTCATATTGAGACTATAATCCTCTCTTACCCTCTTTATTCTCTTTCCCACTATTTTGTTTTCTTCTTTTATGTATATTCTTACATTTTAGACATCTACTTGTAGTTAATATATACTATATAAGTTTATATATAAATATATAATTATTTATATGTATGTATAACTAATACTTATTCCCTTGTCTAGTATATAACTAACTATTAACTTATTTAAGACAAACCATATAGTTCGCCAAAGGAGAAGAATTCTATAAGACTTGTCTTTCATTCTCATCCTTTTCCATTGTGTAAAAATATTTTGTTTGTTATGTATTTGCATGTACATTATAAAACTTTCGGGAATAAATATGTTTTAAACCAAACTTTTGTCATTTAATTTAAGTAAGTTCCTTCGCTTTACCGAAGATCGTTAGGTGAGGTGAAAAACATGTCCCATACCGAGTAACTTTTAATTTCGACAGAAGTGGGTAAGAAAGGTCGGCGGACATAATGAAAAAAAAAACGGTCGGCGGTCCCGTAAAACACTTTATAAAAAAATGTTGGCCTTAACTCTGTATTATCGGCGCAGCAGTATTCCCGACATAGTCTTAGTATTTTGTCGTGTGCGGAAAGTATATAGAAACATTTCCTCTCGAAAACGGGTATAAAGTATGTTAATCAAATAATTTTAAGTCCCAGATTTACATAAAAATGTATATATAATTTGATTGGAATAAACAGTATA